GCCCGTTCTAGCCGTTTCTCGAGTCAGCGGCATTCCTAGAAGATTCCGTCGTTTCGAGCATGAGTCGGGTGGTAAACTGAAGATCGCTTGCTTTAGACAGATACGGCTTAGGAATTTTCATGACAAGAACATACATTTTTGAAAAAAGGGTTTGCTAAAGGAAGTTTTTAGCAAAACGTACATAGTTACGAAATCATTTTAAAGAAGAAAATAAGGGTCTTCTAGAGTTGAAAAGAAATATTTAAAGCATTCACGAGAAGATATTTGTGTAAAAGGTGCTATATTTAGCTCAGAAGTACTCTAAAGTTCTCATATATTTTCAAACTCTTTTTACAAAAAGTTATATTCCACCGTCCGTAATTTAACGAGATTTTACTAGGAGGAAGTTAAGTAGATTCTTCTGGCGATTTTTTTTTTTTTTGTTAAAAGTTAATCTAATCAGAGGTAACTCACTTCACCCTGTTCATCTAACCTCACTTCTCATCCCCTCTTATTTTATATGCAATATGTTAACTATTCAAACCTCTCTCCAGAGAACGCTTTATGACCAATGCTATTAATACATCTGAACAGACAGAAATAAAGCATACTTACTATCCCACAAAGTAAATTTCTCAAAATTGTTTGTGTGCTTTTAACATTATTTTTAAAGTTTTCTTTATCTTAGAAAATATTTTCAGACTACGACAATCTCTTAACTCATGACTTAGCGAGCTGGTTAAAAAAAATAATGGAATTATTGTTTCAAAAAAGATTTTTTTAATTTCTAGTTGTGAGGACGAAGATGTACCAATGTTAAGTCACACTCTGTCTGGAGATCGGATCAATGAATGTTTCGCGGAGCGATATAGGGCGATGTAATGTTTACTTGCAGTAATTAACATTCGCAAAAAAATTGGCGTCATCCAGTTACTGTTGTAAAATGGGGCGAAAATAAATATGACTACGTGGCAAATTGAATGTGCGCTTCTTGTCGTCTGCAATTTTGTAGTGCCGTGCCTAGTTATTTTTTTACGGTTAAAATTATGTTGTCTTTAATAGTACCCTTGGACTCAAACGAATGCTGCCAATCATCGACGCATAAAAGTTAAACTCATATTTTTTTTAAATTTTTAATATTTCGTTATAGCATACTAATATTTTGCGTATGGTACATGATTCTTATTGTTAATAACTAACTTTAATTAAACTTAAACCAAAAATATGATTGTAAAATATAAACTAAATGTTAATTCGGCCATGTTGACCAGTTGCCCCTCCTCCAGAGTATGAGCCGCAAAAACTATTACTAAAATAAATAACCGTCAACGACAGAGATACGAGTCATGTTCATAGATATGGAGGAGGGGAGATAGGAACTGTCATTTCAGAAAACGTTTACACAAGGAGAACCTGCCCAGGGTGCGGAGAGTGCGCAGTTGAGTGATTCCAGGATTGTACTCAGTTTTTTATTAATTCAATAAAAACATATACCTAATTAAATGCAAATTACTAATACTTTTTTAATAAGAGGAATAAATAATTAAACCAGATTGTGTATTAGTTGAGATAATTTAAGTATAGCTAATGCAACGAGGGACGGCTAATTATTTGCGTTGGCGTTAAGGGGCAACTATACATAAATTTATATTATTCCCTTTAGATCATCTTACGATGACCTGAGACAGGTTACAAAATTAGTTTTATATTAATAACTATTAACCAACTATTAAGGTTAGTTGAATACAACATAGGCATTCAAAAACACATTATCATATCATAGATAAATGAAATACAATGCTCACATATAGGTACGTAAAAATATATTGAAATATTAAAAATTATTTATAAATTCATCTGAGTAGTCTTCAATTAAAAGACCCTTCAGGTACTATTTAAATTTTTGTATTTATTTTTTCTTTATAAGTGCTTATGTAACAAGTGATATACATACAGTGTGACACCGAAAACTTCCCAAACTAAATATCTTTCTTCCATTAAATAATGTGAAAAATCGCAAAAACCCGTCAATTTTATTTTCAAGGACACCTACAATGAATACTTTTAACACTCGTGGCTCAACCTCCTAGGAGGGGTAGTTGTTACCCTTAAAATCTTAAAAGGGAAAAGGGGTCAAGAGGCACATCATTTTAAAGTGCGTTTAATTATGGCAAAAATTAAGTAGGAGTAGCATTCCTTCTAATCACAGTTTTATCACTGACTAAAATTCAAAATGATTCGTACATATTTTAAAATTTTCTTTGTGTGATGTTCCAATACTTTTTTATCTAACCTAAAACAGATAAAAATTAATAACTATAATTTATAACTACATGCTGGTTATGAAACACATTTAATCTGGTAACTTACACATTAATGAATGATTTTAGTTAGTTTTCAATCATTTCTTTTGGGAGATCTTCTCAAGTTAGCACTATCAGAACTGCTATTAAACAATGGTTTTAAAAGTTTACTAAAAAAGAAGTCTTCATTATAAATAGTGTTAGCATGCATATAGGTATTACCTATATTTAAATGAAATAGAAATAAAACTTACCTAGCCTCGTTTGGTGAAATTTTCTGTTCATGAGCTTCTGGAACATGTTCTTTTTTTTTACTTGGCAAAAATAAAGTAGGAGTGGCACAGTTTTATAATTGACTAAAATACCAAACAAGATTTCTCAAAATGCTTGAACGATTTTAAAATATTTCCTTGACATACATGTTCATACAATAGGCGAGTTTGGATATTCAGGGGCTGGAGCGGGACAAAAGCGGAGTTTTTTAGGTTGCTTTTAAATGACATTTAAGCGTGTTAAACTGTCACTAATCGGACTAAACCGAACGCTAAAAGGGTCGTTTGGAGTAAAAAGTGTTAAAGGAAACAGCCCCTGACTATCCGAACTGGCCTTTTATAGGATCTTCCATTACATTAAGCCATTTTATTTAACCTAAAAAACAAAAAACGAATAATTATATATAACTTCATAAAAGGTTTTTATTAGAACCCCAGTATAGATACCGGGCTAGAACAATAATAAAATACCTAATTTATTCATCCAAAAATAATTGTTAAATACGAGTCTGCATTGGTGTTAAAAACTTACTTATGACAAGTTCTTCGGAATTATATCATCGGTTTGGACAGAATAAAACTAAACATGTTTTAACCATTGTTTATAGAAGTCTTTAGGACGTCTTTAGGTATCAAAATAACTTTACAAAACTCACAAAAACTTTAAAAATCGAACAAAAATTGCTAAAAATAACGACAATCACAAGACAACTAAATGTCAAATGTCACAATATTCTAACTAATGCGCAGACTCAAATCTACCCTGACATTTACGCTATCGTAAACGTTTTTTCTTGCCACCCGGGCAGCCATTTTCCTATCTCCCCCTCTTCATATCTATGGTCATGTTATAACGTCAGATGCATTTGAATGCCTTTTAAAAAAGAAGAAATTCCAAGGCCTACTTTAAAACCAGCTCAGCTATTGAGAGTTAACCAATGACGTCTGGATACCTATTCTCTAACTCATGGGAGCACTCCCACACTCCCATGCTCCCATGCCAACGTTGCCAAGTCGACAGAATAACTTTGATCTACTATTTAAGGACCGATCCACCGTTGTGTTAAACGAAGTTTAAAATGACATTTTTACATTAATAATGTCATTTTAATCTCCGTTTAACTCAACGGTGGAATCGGCCCTTAGTAGTTCAAATTTGCTTTGTGATAAATACGGACCTAATCTGGCAAGCCCGCAATTCTCCCTCCCATAGTATAAAATCTGACCTTACTACGCATGTACCTGGGCTAAAAGTGAGTAAGCACGATATACCCACCTAAGAGTAAGAGAGCAAAATATATGGGAGCACTCCCATGGGAGCGCTCCCATGACTTAGTGAATAGCTATCCTGATCAGCCACACAAACTGGCAAGAAGGATTAGAAAAAACAAAATTGCTTAAAAAATGTATTTTTTGGTCACATAGTATACAAAAAAATGCACATGTGATGAATATTTAAAATAAAAAACGTCAATAAACGTTTAGAAATAAAACTTTTATATAATAAATACAAAGTAATTACATTTTTTTTAAATAAATTACAAAAAATAAATACATCAAATTAATTTTTTTGGGTCACTCATTATAATCACATTTCCAAAAGGAAGAATAATTTAAAAAAAAATAAATTTACTGCAATAGTACGTGTTTCTACATGTTATATGATTAATGATTTAAAAAAATACAAAAACTATTAGATATATGCAATTCTTTTTATATACAGAATTTGTTTTATTTTAAATTATTAATTAAATTGACAAACTCATTATTAAAAAATATAACACACGAAACCAATTTTATCCAAAAACTGCTGAAAATAAATTCAATTTTTTTGCTTTATCATCGGTCTTTTTTTTGTGTCATCGGCATCAACTACTAAGGTTATTAGCCTCGTGTTCTGTGTAGGCTTTGTTACTGTTTTCTAGCGCCACTTTAGGAACAGCACTGTTAATTAGAACCCAACAGTGAATGGTCGAGTGGGGAATCCTACCAAGGCATCAGAATTAATTTTAAATAATTAAATTAAATAAAAAATCCCGGCCAACGATGGGATTCGAACCTGGGCCCTTGGATCCACAGGCAGAGACTCTACCACTGAGCCACCGACCCCTTAATATAATCGGTCTTATTTAGAATATTGTTATAAAGAGTTCTACAAAAAAACTACTTAAATCATAGTGTCGCACTTGAATATAACATTTTGGCATTATGATGTTAGAAGGGAAATTTTGACACAGATGTCAAAAGAGAATATTTTCCACATACTTTGATTTTCTTTTACTATACGGAGAATGGTCGCACTGCGCAGCTTTCTGAGTGCCTTTTAAAAGGAGATAGAAAACTCCGCCATTTTGAACCATTATTACGTGTTGCCTACATCTTGGCGCAATTTTTTTAATAGGTGCGTTTTAATCATCCGCTTCTGCTTCGGAATTGTCGGTTTCTTGTTTTAATCTGACAGGTTAAAACGACTGAACCGACAATTCCGGAAGCAGAAGCGGATGATTAAAACGCATCTGATATTTTGCTTGTTGCTGTCAGTGTCAGTGAATATTATTTTTGGAGTCATAGTTTATTGCTAAAGAATCAGTTAGCTCACTCGGACCAGTTGAAAGTTCCAAAATAACATTCACTCCAGGGATACAAATTCAGGATACGCAGAAGACTGCTGTTTTATTATAGGCGGTTGTCATATATTGTATTATCTGAGTTGCGCAGTGTATAAACTGGAACATTGAGATAAAAAGTGCCGACGCAGAGTGAGCGATCTGATTCTTTAGCTATAAACTGTGTCATAGGGTTCAAAATGGCCGCGCCCTATGTTGGGCGTGTCGGACCTCTCTCTTGCCCCGTATAGTAATCAAAGTATGTGATATTTTCCAATACAAAGTTTCACAAATCTTATTTTTATTTTCTGTATTAATTTTATTGCATTTTTTAAGTTATTGAGGTAAATAGAAAATAAATTAATTGCTCATTTAATGAAAAAAAAAGCATACGTCAAAAACAGAGAGCAGATTATAGTGACAACTGTCATTGGTAATTTGACAAGCGACAAATGACAAACGGAAGACAAAATAATTATAGGCTTTGAAGCCACATGTCCCTAGTAATAATTTAATTACTAATAAAATTACACATTGAGTGAAGACAAAATGCTGTAGAAGCCTGCTCTAACTTGGCATTATTTCTCTTCAGCCGTAAATATTAGTCCTCAATCTTGATATTACTACTTAAAAACGTCAATATCACAGTATAATACAAGCCTAATCGCTCTTAACATTCTTATTATTTTCGGTTTATGGCCTCCGCCCTTTGGGTATTTAGCCATCCCTCTTAAACCTACAAATCGATATATTCCTTCTTGTGTTTCTTGTTGTGCACGGACAAATCCGAGGACGTGGTGAACTTTTTACCGCACAAATCACAAGAATATGGTTTTTCACCGGTATGTATGCGTAAATGGACCTTTAAACTCGACGACTGTGTGAATTTTTTCCCGCAAACGAAACAAACGTAAGGTTTTTCACCGGTGTGCGTGCGCATGTGTTTCTCCAAGTATTGAGATCTGAAATAAAAAAAAATGGTTCAAATCTTAGTGATAAATAAAACTAATTTGATTCAAATCGGGTCTATCACCGCGTTTACCAGATTTATCACCATTTGATTTTTTCGTGATCCTTCTGTATAATTATAAAAAATAGAATTAGTAATTGAGATGAGCTAAGTTAGTCAATTCAAACTACTTTTACCAATAAATATAATGGAAACAAAATTCAAAGAAATGCCATTAAAAATTAAAAGAAAACAATTAGGTAGAAAGTTTATTTTGATTCTAGTAACTAAAGACAGCGAGTTAGTAAATAATAGTGATGGGACTTTTCATGAAAAGTAATTTTGGCACTAAACCGACGGACATGTCCTGAAAAGTAGTAAAAAGTAGTCAACCTTGGACATAGAGGAGAAGCAGTTAAATGTTTCTTCATCCTGGATGCATTTTCAAAAACACTTTAGGAACAATATTTGCATTTGTATTTTTGTTTTTTAGGCAAATCAATTATAAAATACTTCAAAACTTTTCTATTTTTGGTAATTTTTTTTTTCGAGTTTTTATTTTAATAAGATATGAAATGAAAATTCGAAAACCTTCTTCTTCTTTCTTTCTTTATATTTGAGTTTAGCTTTTGCGGTCTGTCCACATACTTTGATTTTCTTTTACTATACGGAGAATGGTCGCACTGCGCAGCTTTCTGAGTGCCTTTTAAAAGGAGATAGAAAACTCCGCCATTTTGAACCCTTATTACGTGTTGCCTACATCTTGGCGCAATATTTTTAATAGGTGCGTTTTAATCATCCGCTTCTGCTTAGGAATTGTCGGTTTTCTTGTTTTAATCTGACAGGTTAAAACGACTAAACCGACAATTCCGGAAGCAGAAGCGGATGATTATAACGCACCTGATATTTTGCTTGCTCCTGTCAGTGTCAGTGAATATTATTTTTGGAGTCACAGTTTATTGCTAAAGAATCAGTTAGCTCACTCGGACCACTTGAAAGTTCCAAAATAACATCCACTCCAGTGATACAAATTCAGGATACGCAGAAGACTGCTGTTTTATTATAGGCGGTTGTCATACAGTGAGCATCATAAGTCTTACCCCCCCTAACTAACTCGTTACTGGGGTCTTGTTAGGAAAATCGCCGAGACAGGTCGATTTTTGATTTCTACAATGTACATTTTTGTATGATTAGTTTACCCTTAATTTCATCCCTTACTGGAGGGTAGTAACCCTTTCGAAAAATTTAAATGGCATGAGGTGGTGAGTGATAGCTCATTTAAAAGGGGGTTTATTCTCTATTCAACCGTGCAAAAAATTTTGAAATTTGCTTCATTACGTGTTGATTTATTAATGTTTAAAAATAACAAAACCTCACAAAATAGGAAAGCAACAGTGACCTTCTAATGGCAAAAAGTCTTACTTCACGTCTGAACCAAAACCGAAATCATGCAGGGCCGAATTTTAATTCTAAGGATGAGTGCGCTACGTTAATTTCCGTTATTCTGAAACAACAATTAGTCGAGAATTAATGAAGCAAATTTTAATTTTTTTTACACGGTTGAATAGAGAATAAAACCCTCTTTCAAATGATATATCACTCACCACCCCATGCCATTTAAATTTTTCGAAAGGGTTGCTCCCCTCCAGTAAGGGATGAAATTAAGGGTAAACTATTCATACAAAAATGTACATTGTAGAAATCAAAAATCGACGTGTCTCAGCGATTTTCCTAACAAGACTCCAGTAACGAGTTAGATAGGGGGGTAAGACTTATGGTGCTCACTGTATATTGTATTATCCGAATTGCGCAGTATATAAATTGGAACATTGAGATCAAAAGTGCCGACGCTTAGTGAGCGATCTGATTCTTTAGCTATAAACTGTGTCATAGGAATCAAAATGGCCGCGCCCTATATTGGGCGTGTCGGACCTCTCTCTTGCCCCGTATAGTAATCAAAGTATGTGGGTCTGTCCATCGAAAACATTAAAATGACGTTAAAACATATAAAAGTCAGTAGTCATTTGTCGTTTCTTCTTTTTTAAACTATATTTGGCCTTTTTTGTAAGAAATTCAGCCAAATTATTTCATTTAATTTCGCGCATGGGCAATACTCAATTCCACTTTTGAAAAGTTGGGTTTACAACAAAACAATGCCTAACCTAACAGAAGCATACGAGAAGACTAAAAACTTTTTTGAGTATTCACCAATCAAACCTACATATCAAAGTATGAAGCATTTGATAAAATTCCCAAAATACTAATTGAAGATTACCCCAAAGAAATTAATTGTGCTAAACAAGTGGAAACCATTGAAAAACAGCTAGACGAAAGGTGGAAGAGTTTTGAGCAAATTTTCACTGACTGATCACTAAAATAAGACAAAATGAGCTGAACTTTCTACCATAAAAATTATAATATTAATAAGATATTTAAAATGAAGGAATATACTTCCATTTAATCTGTAGAACTAACCACCATCAGATTGTGCTTAACTGTAGAAAAAAAGTTTTTAATCTTCCCTGATAGTCGGAACTCATTAATAAACGCATATATATGTTAAGCAATTCAATAAATAACTATCTTCTAGTGGAAATACTTTCATTATACCAACAAATGCAATCTATGAACAAAGATGTATCTATGGTTTGGATAAAAGCTCATGTGGAAATAAAATCAAATGAAAAAAAAAACACGAAAGTCTCACAAAAAAAAAACGAGAAAACTCTCAGCAAAGCAATAGACCTTAATAACACGGCTTTTATATTTAATTCGATTTAATGGACTGTATTCTTTAATTTTAACACAAACAACTTTTATTATACAATATACTTATTAAAAAAAGTGAAACAAGAGATGTAAAAAGCATAAGGTTCTTCTTCGTCGTCTTATATCTCTTCGCAAGGGCGGCTCCAGGAGAGAGGCATGGGGGCCATCCTTCCCTCCAAAAAGAAAATTCTTACGATTTATGAGCCTTTTATTCAAAAAAATATGCGAAAAAAGGACCAAACATTGAAAAACAGGTATAGTTTAAGAACTATCACTCAATGAATTGTATCCGAATATAATGTTGATTAAGAAATAATTTCTCACTATACACTGAATATCTTCACAGGTTTAGACTAGTAATCTAAATTGCTCCTGTGGAGAACAAGAAAATCTGGAACATGTAATTCTCTAATTTCCCAACAACAAGCAAGAAATTACTATAATCTATACTTTAATATTAATAAATATACAACTTATCCTGTAACTATGTCTAGTCTACGGATCAACGTTTATAAAAAAATGATATATAAATAAACGATCAGGTCCTGGGCTATAAAAATGTCGAGCAGATGCTTTTTGTTTGACATGTGCATCAAGCGAAAAAGGTAAAAAAGGGAAAATTCATTTTTTATTCATAAGTGAGTGCATTTAAAGGGTTTTGGGTTACCCACGATCTTAAACTACATTTTATTGTCAGTGAAGATCCTAGAGATAACAGATGTTATCTACCATTATAGGGCCAACATTTTCTTTACAATAACAATGATCATTCAAAAACTGAAAACAAAAAGAATTTTAAATAGCAAACCAATTATTTTAACACTAAATCAAAAACAAGTTTGTAAATATTACTTGCCATTGGTGCCAAACAGTGCAAGATGCATTTTTCTTAATACACTTATTATAAATTGTTTGGTTATCCTTAATATGACGACCGCATATTTAATAATAATAATAATAATAATAATAATAATAATAATACTCTCCCTAATTCACCCCTTTACGAGTGAATTTTAACCCCAAAAGCTGAGCTTGTGCGGGGAAAGGGACGGCTATTATTATTATTTGCCGTGGCGCTCCGGGGCGACTTAAGGATGATTGATGGTGCCATTTGACTTACAGGTGAGGAAAACCCGGAAAACCTTACCCACCATCATAAATGGTATAAATTGTATGTATCATTACCAATATCTGGGAGTGACTTATTGTTCGTTGCTAAAATCCATCTTCCCATCTTTTATACATTCATGCTTAAAATTGAAAGGTATTGAAAAATAAATCTAGATGAATCAAAATCCAATACACCCTTAACTGCAACAGCCATTTTAATTTTTCTAAGTTTGAAGTTTTGACGAGCTGACAACTGACATTTCGATACTGAGCGCCATCCCGTTAATTGGAGTGGTACTAAATTACCTTCCTCAAGTTTTTCCAATTGAGTTACCAGCCCCTGACTACCACCTACTACTAAAAATTATAATTTGAATTTACCGCCATCTGTCAATTATCAGTTTAGTTCCTACTCCAAACACAAGGTGGCGCTAATTTGGTAAAAAAGTCTAACATTAGCGTGGGGTTTCTAGAAGCGTGCTTTGTGAGTTCTACCTTGTTCAGGGTGGAACCATTACCAATTGGAGACCAACGTTTAGGGCGAAAAAATTTGGCAAGAGAGGTGATTCAGGCAAGACAACAAGGACTCAAGGATTGGTAAGAGAATTTGTCTATTATTGTAATACAATGAACCTTGTGTGTTTGTGAGATTGGGATAGTGTGAGAAAGAAGGGGGATGTGTATGTAGATAGTAATAAATAAAATAGAGTACCTAACCAAAAAATAAAGGAAATTAGATAAAATTAATGAAATTAAGAAGTGTTACAAGGATGGATAGTATGGAATAAATAAGTCAAGGGGAAGAGGATCGGCAGAGTCAAGTAGAAGTTCAGGAGGAAGAAAGAACTAAGAAGTGTAAAAAGGAAATGATAGACATGTTTCAAATATTATTGATGAAAATGGAAGAATACAAAGATGGAGAACTTGGGGGAGAAAATTAAGAAAATAAATTAAGAATTAGAAACATACAATAACACAAGGAAAATAAAGAAAAGGGAATAAAAGTGTAGAAATAAGTTAAATTCTAAAACGATGAAAACATTGTATTAAAAAAACAAAGAATGTGAATTTCTGTTTTTCACGCACAGGGAGTTTTCAGGGTTGCAAACTTGGGTATAAACTACTCTCAGAAGTAGTGTCATAAGAAACCTATCATAAGAAACCTAGCAAAAAATCAGTTAAATAAACTTTGCCAGAGGCGTACGACATGGGTAAGTAACACCATCTCTTCTAAATTTTATGACACTCTCTAAAAACTTATTTGGACTACAATTTAGAATTTTTTGATATTTTTTTAAATAAATCATGTACTTATATTGGGAATTTATAAAAAATCCAAAATTACAAAATTAAAAATAAATTGAAACGAAGAAAATCCACCTATGAGTGTCAATGTCTCGAAAAACAATCACTTTATGAGTGTCCAACAAAAGTACATGATTTATTTAAAAAACATCAAAAAATGTAAAAAATATAGTCCAAATAGGTTTTTGGACAGTGGCATAAAATTTATAAGGGATAAAGGAGTTACTTATCTACGCTGTACGCCACCGGTAAAGTTTATTTAACTGATTGTTTTGCTGATAGGTGTCTCTTATGACACCAAAAATGTTTTTCGAATTTAGTAAAATTATACTGAGAAATAAAAAAAATAAAGACATTAATAATTTTTGAATTTTCAACACCCTATATTTCGGAAAGCATGTTTCGTTTAATAGTCTTATTTTTAATCAGAGAATATTCTGTTGTTCTCTGTTCCTTCTTAATAATATCTGTCTATCTACTCACCTGGTGAATTGTCTTTCGCACAGATGACATGTTGATAAGTTCTCTCCAGTGTGCGTTCGAGTGTGTTCGGCCAAATACGCCATGGACGTAAACTTTTTGTCGCACGTGGAACAAGTAAACTTCTCGCCGGTATGTTTCATCATGTGCGATTGAAGTTCAGATGCGTAATTGCAAACTTTATCGCACATTGTACATTTGTACGGTTGTCTACCGGTGTGTTCGCGCATATGAACAGTCAGTTGAGAGGAATGAGTGAATTTGGCGTCGCACACCTTCAAACAAACAAAAACTGTTAATTTTGAGAAATGGCGACCAAAAAAAAAACATAAGAGAAAATGCAATTTTATTGTGGTTCTAAATTTTTGCTCAGTTTATCAGCTGGGAAACTATTGAATTTTTGGAAATTCGAAATTAAAAATAAATAAAATTATGGAATTTATTTTTAACCTCAAGGTAATAACAAATCAAACGAAAAATTAAAAAAATCGGAAAAAAATAACAATGAAAATAAGATGAAAAATATTAAAAAATTATGTAATTAAAGTTTAAAAAAATATAATGAAAAATTGGGTAAAATGGGATAATAATAAAAAATAAAATTATTACAAAAGAAAACAAATAATTGAAATATTGGACTAATTAAAACATGTTATTTACAAAAGTTACTTTAATTTAAAAACCTTTTTTCTCTAAGATATTTAGTTAGACTAGTACTTTCCTTATAGCAGAGAGACATCCAACCAAATTCACTTACCTTACAAGTGAACTTTTCCCCAGTATGTTTCCTGAGATGCACATTCAAATGAGACGATTGCGTGAAAGTTTTATTGCAGATGCTGCAGGAATACGGCCGTTCGCCTGTGTGGGTTTTGATATGAGAATTCAAGATATAAGTACTAGCAAATTTTTTGCCACACACTGTACATTCGTAAGGTTTTTCGCCTGTATGCGTCCGCATATGGACCTAGAAATACAACTTCATTTAGCGGTCGACTCGATCAAGGGGAAAAGGTTCAGATTCAAGTGGAAGTTCTGGAAGAAGAAAAGACAGGAGTTAAAAAGGAAAGGGATGTAAAGGACATGTTTCAGTTATTCATGATCAGAATGAAAGAAAATAAGGAAGAAATTAGGAGAAAAATGGATTAGATGGTAAAGAAGATAGATCAGAATGCAAAGAAGATAGACGAGACTGTAAAGAAGATATATGAGAATGCAAAGAAGATAGATGAGACTGGAGAGATGGAAGAAATAAATGAATTAGAATATTACAATAACATTAAAAATAAATAAAAAGAAAATAAAAGTGTAGAAATTAATGAAGAAGAAATAAATGTACAAGAAAGAAAAAGTTAAAATTAGAAGAGATTAAAATAGAAATTGAAGAAAAAGGATTCAATGAAGAAAGACATTCACAATGTAGAAAAAGAAGCAAATATGAAAAAACAATAGTAAAAGAAAAAGAAACGTTGAATAATTGAAGAAGAGAATGAGAAAGAAAACCGAAAACAAATGTAAGAGGAAAATAGAAAATAAGATAAAGAAGAAAATAAAACACACATAGGATCAGGAAGAAGAAGAAACAAAGATATTATAACAAAAAAAAATTAAAATAGGGGTAAAATTAAAACAGATACAGAAATAAATAATAGAACAGTAAATAAAAATTAAAGTGATAGTAAAATAAAATTAAAACAGATACAGAAGTATGAAAGGAAAACTCAAACAGTAAACAAAAATAAAATGGGAATAGAAATACAACAGATGCGAAGCGAGAATGAAAGGAAAAATAAAGAAAGTGAGAACAAAAGTGAAAGTAAAATATAAAAATTTAAAGGAGGCACGTAATTTTTAGAACATTAAAACAAGTTGAGAACCCGTAAATTGAAAAGATTAAATAAATAAAATAGAAATAGATTTTGTAAAAAGAGAAAATGAAGAGTATATCTGAAGAGTACATCAGTGAGTATAGTTATGGGAGAAATTAAGATTGAAAGGTGAGTCTTAGGCAGAACGTATCAGTGCAGTGCGGGAGGAATTCTCTTTCAGGTTGGAAAATTCGGCATGAATGAAATAGTCCGTAGACGCAAATTATTTCATGTCAGATTTGGGGAAATGTTCTCATGATTTCCGTCATTTTTGACTTTTGTTGTCATATTTTCGTTCTACAGGGTTGGCACTGATGATAATGGAATATGCTTTTGGAATTGGATTTAGAAAAGATTATCAGTGGGATAAGAAAACTGTTATACGTCAGAGGGAATTGGAAAGATTGTAACAGAATTTGTAATAAGTTAAATAAAGCATATAAAAAAATCGGTAAATTATTTTACCCAGAACTTCCCTCGATATAGAAATGGTCCGGTTACACAAAGCAAAAGGATACTTTTTATTATTTCCATTTAAGGGGGACCTTTTTGATTAAATACGATTCCTTTTAACTCCATTTTGAATTTTTAAAAACTTATTAACGATCTGTTATCTTTGATTTTTAAAATACTCAGATACCAATTTTAGTCAAAATTTGCACTTTTAAACTGCTCACCCTGTATATAACTGACCAGAAGTATAACTGGTTTTGAGGCAGAAAGAAATCTCATCTGTATATAGAATTTAAAGTTTTTCTCTAAATCTGTTTTTGAGCTATCGCGCCAACGAAATGGGGAAACATGTTTTTCGTAATCTAGGGAACCTGAAACGTGAAAATTTTAAATAAACTCGGTGGGTGACTTTTTCACGATTAAAATACTTCCCTTTTATCGAGGGAAGTGTATAAAAAAATTATTTATAAAGATAATTATTATAAAAAAAAAGAAACGAAACAAAGTGCAGAAAGCAAAGCAGGAGGCAGATGAGAAAACAGAGAATAGCAATTAAAGGAAGCGGAGCAGGAGGTAGGGAAGAAGAGTTGGAGGAGGTTTTAGATAGGTGGTAAACGGAGAAAATTACGACGAAAAGATGTTTTTTTTTTGTTTGATACGAGTAACTTATTTTTTTTAAATTTTATATGTAGTTAGAAGAGTCAAAACTCTAAAACCTTTGGGATATTGGAATTGTTTGATTCTTCGGGCCAGGTCACCTGTACATATAATGTGTAATATATTTAATAAATTTTGTAACTGCTATGATATCAATCGTGTTAAATTGTATAAGTATAATTTTAGACCACTTAAGAAACAACTTATATTTGAGATTCAGAATGAATCATATTGTGAATGAATGAATGATACAGGTTGTCATAGTTGCTGTAGAATAAAATAAATACCTTTAAATCAGCAGAAGTGAGACATCGCCTATCACAGCAAGTGCATGCATAAGGTTTCTCTCCAGTGTGCGATTTCATATGCATCGTCAACTCACCCTTGATTGTAAAACGTTTATTGCAGATGGCGCATTGAAAGGGTTTTTCGCCGGTGTGTCGGCGAATGTGCTCTCTAAGATGAGAAGAATGATAAAATCTGAAAAAATGCCGATTAATTTTGTATAGAAAACAAAATTAATATTTTACAAACCTTTTTTCGCAATATTTACATTCAAACGGTTTTTCCCCTGTATGAGTTCTAATATGAATCCTCAAATTTGATTTTTTCTTATATGATTTCCCACATTCTATACAAGTAAACCCTTTAGCAGTTTTTTCTTCTGGTCGCACCTGAACCCCTACAAAACAAATTAAACAGTATTGCACCTATTACAGAGGTAATGAAAAACTTGGGTTAAAATAAATGACAGAGAGAGAGAGAGAGATAATACAGTGTACAAAAATTTTCAAAAAGAACAGGATAAAAATGTATTGTGGAATGATTACAAAAATAAAAGAAATATAATCGTTAACTCATTGAATAATTTTTTGAAAATAAAATAGACAAACACAAAAATTCAAGTAACTCTTTGACTCATGGTGTCTACAATTGTAGACACTAACTTTCTTGTATTCGCCGTAACCACAATTCGCTTCGTTTTTCATTTACACGACCTTGTATACGTTTGTAGATATCCCTTTAGGTATATAAGCTAGCCCACTCAGTCTGCAGTAATATTGGTCATGTACAAGTGGTAAGTTATACAACGAGGTGAATGGTGGTTCCACGTTAGACATTCTGACTTTTATCATTCCAAAAAAATATCGAAAGTTATTGCTCATCCACTAAAAAGTTGTTAAATTTTTGGAGCATAGGTAATTTATCATTAAGTATTTTATACATATTTTGGAGATAAACTTAATTTAGTGACTATAACAGGCACCTAAAATCTCGTATCTCCAATTATAGACATTTGTACACAAGACTTTTACTATTTATCTTTCTTACTGTGTGGCCCTGGCACTTATAAATTCTTGGATAGAATACAAAAGAGAATATAAATTGCTTGGTCGGCCAGCAAACAAAAAATTCTGGATGTATTACAATTTTGAATGGAAATAGGGGAGGTGCTTATCAAACAAGGGAATTAAATTTTCAGAAAAAAGGTGGCGAGATCTTCAAAGAATGTAGTCTGTGTCCAGCCAAGTTGAAGAAAAACGGAAGTGCGACCTCCTACAGATGTTTAATTGAATGTCAATCATATGCCAAAGCACACTAAAACGTCCCTTCCTGAGCACTGTAACAATATTGGTTACAAGGCCAAGTCCCGATGAATTTGCATTAAATGCAACGTATATTTGTGCCTTCAAAAAGATCAAAACTGTTTTTTGAACTTTTACCAAAAATAAATGGGTTTGAGTAACATTTTTTTTTTTACTTATTATTATTTGCTCTATTTTCGTTTTTCAATAAATATATGTCCCATTGACTTACATGTCTACAATTGTATTTTTTTCTGGTACATTTTGAAAAAAGTATTTCAAATGTGTTTAAATATCATATATCATATTTTAAAAATAAAATACTGAAAAATAATTTTTATCTCTGGAAACCATAATTCATGATTCAAAGAGTTAAAACAGTTTACTCAGCTTGTGTTAGATCAATATTGGAATATGGGTTGCAAGTTTGGTCTCCATTTGATGATGAACTACAAATTAAGTCATTTGAAATTTCTGATATTGTGCATTCAGATTAGATTTAGTATTTGGCAACTATGATTATTTTATATTAAACTTAATGGATCTTGAATGTCTAGAATTTCAAAGGATCTGTTCATTGTTGTAAACTTTTGGAATCCATTTAATATACAGTACCAGCAAAAATATTTAAAACACTAAAAAGTCACTAGATGCTATAGAAAATTTGGAAAAACCAATATTTTTCAAGAAAATTATAATTAAAAAACTTGATTTTATAGTTTTTATGCACAAAACACTCATGATAAATTCTGTTTTGGAAATAGCAAAGTTGCCAAGATGGAAATTAAATTAGGGTAAAGGAGTGAAAAGGGTTGCTGGGTGGGCAAAAAAATGCCAATAGTGATGTGATAGTGACCTAATGATTATAAAATATTATTAGGGAAAGGAAAATTATTAGAAATACTTGAATAAAATTGAATAGTGTAACGATTGTTTAATTTAAAAATAGTTTATTAACAACAGTTTATTTATAATTATTTGTAACGTACTAATTAATTTATTTAATACTTATGCACTATTATTAAAACTCACAATTCTAATTTATTTATTACAATTTATCTTTACTACACAACACTTATATTGAAAGTTAACTTCTACCGACAAAGTCGCGCTATTTATATTACGAGTACATTCTCGATGGTCTAGAATCTCTGGAATGTCTTCTATGAGTCAGCCGACGAGCAACGATTTCTCTGGTAGCTTCTTGGAGGAGTGCATTTGACTGTCCTACGGTATTGAAACATAGACGAAGCGACAGCTGTAATGGCGAGAGGACTAGAGTCGGCTTTAGGTGATTACATGACAATAGGATTCAATGTGGCAACGTTGCAAACTCACTTTTTTGTTTTATATTTTGAGGAACATTAGGTTAAACTTAACAAATGAAACATAAAATATCATAAAAAGTTACTTCAATAAAATAATTATATAACTTCGAAATTGTCACATCTGGATAATAGAATGAATCCCCAGTAAGATATACTCATCAAAAGGATTCATTCTTAATTGCATTTCACAGAACTAACTATGGCTTATTTGGTCCTCTAAGATGAAAGCAAAGAAGTGCAAATTAATTGAATTTGAATAGTCTCTCTTGATGTTTTGATAATTTTCATTATTTCTAAAGAGTTTTATTGATATTTTACAATTTTAAAATTATTTATTACTTTTAAGTGTTGATGTTTGTTTTTAAAATAATGTAAAGTTACAAATTAATGCATAGTATCTTTTATGATTTTTATATATTTTTTATTCTAATGGAGATTACCCGTAAGTTCAAACAAAAAATAAATAAAATGTTTGCTTATTAATTTGTAATTACCTGTTGTTCTTTTGATGACGACTTGTTTAAATGGTACACTAACGTAGTTTGTAGGCTCATATTTAGGCTGTTGAATGGTATAAGTAGTTTGAATTTCAACATTTGTTTGTTGGGAAGGTGATGCATCCTGTTGTTGCTCTCCGTTTTGCTCTGATTGTTGAACTTCTGGTTCCTATTTATATTGAAACAAAAAACAGTAAATTCAAAAAATATTGGAAAATCGTTAAAAAAGTAAGGAAATTTTATTTTATTTACACTGTAATATAAAAACTCGACATTTTTTAAAAATAAAATAATATTTAAGATATTCAATATTTACCTGTGTCAGTTTATAGTTTTGATTTTGTTTGAATTGTATAACTGGCTGTGGATGATGTTCATCTTGTTTGTCTTCTGGTGATTGTTCTAATATAGATGGTATTTCTTGTTCTACAGTAGCATTTTCTTCTTGAACTATAATATGCTGTTTACCAAGGTGACTTTCATTGATGAAACCTTTATAAAAATAAATAAATAATTTTTAATGTCAAATGGGAGAATATCTAACTATACAGTATCAGCTATTGAAAACCTTCAAATATGGTTTGCTAGTGTTGAAGAAAAAACTACAGACTTTGCATTAGTTCAAGAAGGAAACGAATAATATCAATGTTGCCAAAGGCCCATCCATGTGGGGATTGTGGATATATGTCATTGTGTCTATTCACAATTTAAATTACACAGGGCAGACAGACAGCATGATATACACACAGACGGTTAATAGTTATGATACATGTATCATGCACCAAAAATTATCCCCATGAAGCCAGGCAGCTGTTTACTGGCAATATGGTTTTCAAGCACTGATAATATATATGCTGCATTTGTTTATTTATATCAGATGCATCTGAAATGTTTTGAATCATTTATCATGTAACTGTAGTTGGATCAGATGCGTCCGATGTGGATAAACAAATGCTAGAGATGTAAAACATGCATCAGATGTGAATATTCAAACATAACAAAAAGTGATAATAGGATGTTTGTAAAAATTCAACTATCAATGTATCCAATTTACTGAAAAAAAAAGGAACATTCTTAAACCTAATTATTTATTGAGAACAAGCATGTCTGAAAAACAGTTTAGATACATTTTTCATACTAAAAATAATATTTTTGCTGCAAAATAAACATATTAACATGCCCAAATATAATTTATAAACATTTAAGTCCAAAAAGAAATAGATAACTTACTAATGTTTGCCTCTTCTGAACTACAATTTTCCTCTTCACCTTCATCGTCATTCCCTTCCAATAATTCACTTTGTTTTGCAAGTTCTTCATCATTATCTAAAAAATGTTTTAAATGAATATATTCAGTATTCTGTTGATCTTCACTGATTATATTCAAGTTCTGAACAGCAGTAGCTGGGATTGAAAATTCGAATTTTGTAGGGGTTGTTAATGGTCTAGCTTCCAGACATATTTCTTGTTTGGTTTCTTCTTGTATGCTTATATATCTACAAATAACAAATTATTAGTAGGTAAATGTTATTTTTAAATATCGAACATCATACCTGTTTAAAGTTTGATCTGACTGTAGACAGACCATACGAAAATCATAAGCAACCCGTAAACGATCTATGCAAATAGAGCATATGAGAGAAGGAAGTCCTTCCTTCAACCAAGACTGAAATTTTATAAAATACATTAACCATATTCTACATTTATTTTTGTAAATGATACATATCACTCATGTAACAAAAAATAGTACTACTTTTACTTACTACTTCTGAAACGCATGCTAAAAGTTTATCAAACAACTTTATAGAATCAGAATCTTGAATGTCTGTTGATGTAAGGGTACAATCTATCCTTAAACAAGCCCTACAGCAGTCTGCGACGTTTACGGTATTATTCATCTTAAGTTGAGTATCTCCTTAATTAATATTTTGCATTTTTCTCAACACGATTCATTAATATTTGGTAAAATATAATCAAAATAAATATTGTTCTAAATAAATAATCTTATATGTTGACATATGTGACATGTGACGTTTATAAAACATCATTAATTCTTCTTGTTTGTGTTATTTGTATATTTTCTCTACCATAGGTCCGTACTTCCTCCATGGGTCCGTATTTATAAACCACCACTAAGGTCCGATTTTTCAATCTCCGGCTATTTAGGATAGCTGGCAGCTACGGAGATAGCCGTCAGCCACTGCCTGTCAAAACGTTTATCGACCTCCAGTTATACGATAGCCGTCAGCTATTCTGACTGTAACCGTAACCGACACTCTTCTCTTACCTATGACCGACACTTGCAAGTGGTAATTTCGTACAGATAGCCGCCAGCTATTTATTGTACATGCGTAAGACGATGTTTGTTAAATTTAGAGGTTAATATTTTTATTAATTTTATTTCTGAAAAATGGGTTTCTTTGAATATATTTACAGCGACGATGCCAAAAAATAAATTATTTAAATTATTGAATATTAATCAATGATGACCGTGTAATCCGTGTGTTGTAAGGGAACGGCCCATTTATTTCGATATCGATGAACTGAATTTTATTTTTTTTTTGTTTTTTGTGTCATCGGCATCAACTGCTATGGTTATTAGCCTCGTGTTCTGTGTAGACTTTGTAACTGTTTCCCAGCGCCACTTTAGGAACAACACTGTTAATTAGTACCCAACAGTAAATGGTCGAGTGGGGAATCCTACCATTCACTGTTGGGTACTAATTAACAGTGCTGTTCCTAAAGTGGCGCTGGGAAACAGTAACAAAGCCTACACAGAACACGAGGCTAATAACCATAGCAGTTGATGCCGAATTATTAAATTTTAGATTATTCTGCAACCTTCTCATTTCGTTTCCGTGATATTGCATTTTCCGTTTTTTTACATTTTGTAAGATGACCAAATTTCAATAGTAGGGCTCTATCTGATTCCGCGTAATTAGATATTTTCTCTTTTTTCTAAATCACCAATTGCCCAAAAACAGAAAATAACAAGATCTTAAGGCTGTATGTCACGATACTAAATTAAGTACTAAACTTAGCACTAAATTAAGTCATTAATTTAGTACTAAATTTAGAACTAAAAATATTTTTTTCCGTTTGCAACGATACCAATTTTTAGTACTAAATTAACTATAGGCGCACGCGCATTGACGTATTAATACGTGAAATAAGCGGAGAAATGAAATATTCCTGGTAAAATAGTCAAGTGAAGTAAATGGTGTTTTTATTATCAATTTGACATGACAACAACCAAATACAGCAATGCTACTATAAACCACGAAAAAAACAATAAAATCTATAAAATCAAACAAGCGAACTTTATTCAAGTCGATAATGCAAAATTTTCGCTAATTAAAATCAAAATGGTACAGAAAATACCGTCGTGTCAATTTTTTCTGTGAAAAACTTCTGCGCAACATTTCGACGCACTTTTAGTACTAAATTTAGTAGAAAATAGAACAAGTTCTAATTAATTAATGACTTTTTTTAGTACTAAATTTAGTACTAAATTTGCTGTTTGCAACGTAAATTTTTTTAGTACTTAAAAAATGCATTAATTTAGTTCTAAATTTAGTACTTAATTTAGTATCGTGAAATACAGCCTTTAAAGAAAAATGGAAGCAAAATAGAACAATTTTTATGTGAAGGTCGGTGACGATCAACACAAGACACAATAGGTCTGTTCTGGTTTTGAGAAATAACGATCCACAACTGTCGGGCTCATGCGCAGTAGATAAAAAGTGTTCTGGTTTTTCTGGGACTACTTCGGATCTCTCAGTCCAGTGTTCTGGTTTCGTATCCGAAATAATCCGTGATTGTTGTAAACAGTCAAAAAGTGTTCATGCTTGGGAGTGTGGATCGACTCGGACTGTTTTGACCGCGCATGCGTTTTTGAAGTGTTATGAATATTGTATTGGCTTTTTAGACCATACGAAACGTATACAATCCCAAATTGTTTATTTATATGTGGACGAATGTCTCTTGTTCTTGTTTTATTTGTAAATTAAAGCAATTTTAGAATTATTAATTCTTTAATATTCTGTTTTTATTTATTCCATTGAAATGTGATGATAATGATAAACATATACATGCAAATATTATTTGAAGCTGAGCTTTCAAAAGGAACTTCATTATTATAATAAACAATAAACAAAACACCTTTATGACGTGTTCTGGTTTTCCAAGAATTTCAAACAGTCGGGGATTTTTTGCCTTTACGCATACGGTCCGGCGCAGTTTCAAAACAGTTTTCATTTTGAGAACCAGAACAAACCTGATATGTAAAACGGAAAATTTAAATTATCCAATAAAAACCATTTAACAAATTAGCAGAAATGCCAACCTGTCTAAGAATAAATAAAAACTATTAGACTACGTAGCTAGCAGTTAAATTCGTGATGAAAAACACTTCCATCCATATTCCATCGGTAACAGGGACTTTGACTGCCAGCTAAATATAGCTGTCGGCTACGTAACAGCCACTTTGACTGGACATTGAAAAACCGACCCTGAACCACATACTTTTGCTGCGTTTGAGAATCCACATCGGATGCATCTGAGATGTAAAAAATCTTTGATCACGTGGTTCAGTATACGTAAATGTAATGGGACAGATGTGTCCGATGTGGATAAAAAAACGCTCGAGATGTAAGGGTCTATTTATACTCCCTTAGTATTAGTATTTGTATTAGTATTATGATTAAGCATTAAATTTGTTAAATCATTCAAAAAAGGTATTTATACTCGTTTTATAATTAGTATTAGTAATTCTTTTTTAAACCTAATACCTAATAAGATATAATTCTGCAGTCAACAAAATATATGGTTACTGAAGAAATGTGTAAGAGGCCGGTTGTGTTCTTTTTAGATATTTGAGTTTTAAATGTGTTTTTATTAATATTTTTACTAGTTAATTAGTTAATATTATTCAAAAATAGTTTTAATTAAGGACATTTTAACGGATTTAAGTCTCAAATTTATAACAGATAAAAAGAAGCAGAAATTTGATACAAATCAGACAGAAAAGAGGCCTTTGCTTCCTCATGGTGACATGTCATTTGTCAACTTTATAATCGGTAAACACTGCTGATACACAAAAATTGTATACAGAGCATGATTTGTACCGAAATATTATCGTTTTCGAGCTTGTTGGAACAAACAAATAAACAACATAATCATATGTGTATTGTCAATTATCCTTATCAATCAATCAATCAATATATGTTTATTGTCAAAGCTACAAGAACTTATAGACAAACACTTATAAATATAATTATTATGTAGTACTAACAATTACATGCATAAAAATTTAAAAATTGTATAAAAACGTTAAATATAAAATTAGAGGTTAATTACAAATACAAATACGTAACACAACATCGATAAAATTATATAAATACAAAAACATGTACGTTCAAACAGTCACAACGATTTAAGAGTCATTGTAAAATTCCGTCAAAGCATAATATGCTTTTGTCATCAACATATCTCTAAGCAGTATTTTAAATGTTGTGACCGTTTCCGTCGATTTAATAGCATTTGGCAACTTATTGTACATTTTAATCCCATTATAAATGAAAGAGCCCCTTACCAGTTCAGATTTGGGTATGGGCAACCGCAGGTTGTCAACTTGTCGCGTTAGCCGAGCGTTAGTATTGACATAGTTCGATTTATTTTTATGTATAATACAAGTGGTTTCAAGAATGAACAACGATGTTAATGTTAAAATTTCATGTCTAATAAAATGTGGCTGACATGACTCAAGCTTGTTCATTCCACATAAAAATCGTATTGCTCTCTTTTGCAGACAAAAAACAGTATTGAATAATTCGCGGCTGCAACCTCCCCAAAATGCAATTCCATATCTCAAATGGGACTCAACTAGGGCGTAATACACACTTTTTGCTGCCTTAAAACCTAGTTCTTTTGCCACAGTTCTGACTGCAAAACATCCAGAAGAAAGTTTTCTGTTTAGCAATTCTATATGGTTTCTAAATTTCAAATTATTATCTAAATTAATTCCCAGAAATTTTATTGTGTCAGTACATTCAATAATATGACTTCCCAACTGAATATTTGGTAGGGAACATTTAAGGGTTAGCATTTTAGTTTTTCCCATATTAAGACGCAAATAGTTGGCATCGCACCATGCTTTGATTTTCTTAATGTCACAGGATATGGTGTTGTATAGGACAGAAGTGTCATTGCTGTGCCATAAAATCGTAGTATCATCTGCAAATAGAGTGAAAGTACCTGCAATTTCAAGTTGAGCTAAGTCATTCACATAAAGGAGAAATAATATGGGACCTAACACAGAACCCTGAGGGACACCCCAACTAATATCTAAAACTTGAGAATCCTGAGACGCTCTTACCATTTGCTTACGTTCTGAAAGATAAGATTTTACCCAACTCAGCGCTCCGTTTTTGATCCCGTAAACTCGAAGTTTATCCAACAGTACTGTATGATTGACGCAATCGAACGCCTTAGTTAAATCACAGAATATCGCCGCTACAGAATCGTCAACATTAATTCTAGAATAAGCATGTTCAAGATAAGAAAATATCGCATCAGAAGTACTTTTGTTCCTTTGAAAACCAAACTGTTGTGTTTCCAGCAATTTGTGAGTTTCTAGATAATGAATCAAACGTTTTTTTACAACTTTTTCAATAATTTTGGCCACTGTAGGAATGAGAGATATAGGCCTGAAGTTCGAAGGATCGTAGTTACTGCCGCCTTTATGTATGGGGACAATAACACTGGTCTTAAGAAATGACGGAAAATTTGATTCGACGAAACTTTGGTTGATCAGACTAGCAAGGACTAACATTGCTGATTCTGGAAGGTTTAGGATAACTCTAATAGAAATATCATCATAACCAGCAGCATTTTTGTTTTTAATATCTGAACATATTTCCATTATCCGTTGTCTATTAAAAACAAAGGCCAAATACACCATAGATTCTTTTTATAGAAAAGAAGAAATTTAATATTTAATTTAAAAGTTGAACCTGTCAATTATTAAGCATAAATATTAATGCTAATACTAATCATAAATCGAGTATAAATGTTCCCATTACATTGTGAAGGTTCAACTTAATGCTTAATCATAATACTAATGCAAATACTAATAATAAGGGAGTATAAATAGACCCTAAAAAATGCATCCGATGTGGATTCTCAAACGCAGCAATAGATGTGCTTTGATTTTCTTTTACTATACGGAGAATGGTCGCACTGCGCAGCTTTCTGAGTGTCTTTTAAAAGGAGATA